GGGGGGGGCCTTGCTAGATTCAAAGAAAAAAAATCCCATAAGGTAAACTATGATCTCCAAATTACAAATGGGAAAAATAAGACCTTCAGAGTTTGAAATGTATAAAGGCACACAGCTAGTAAGGGATAGGGAATGAACTCAAAAAGCAGCTGACTACAAATCTCTTGCTTAATCATAAATAATACAAAACAACATAACTGCCAGAAGAAAGGTACAAACAAAACAAAGAAGTAATCTTTTCCAAACTTATTTCTGCTCCATTCCCACTGCCAATAGCCAGTTTCAGAACTTCTGCAAACCTGATGCTTGAGTGGGCTACTTATAAATCATCTAGGAAGCCCACTTAAATGAACACTCCTAGGCCCAACCCTTGAGATTCTAAGTCATTTAGTATGGGGTGTTTCTGATGTAGTTTTTTTAAACCATATTACTAAATCATGTCCATTAATTCAACAAACATTTGAGTTCCTACTATACACTGAAGCCCATAACTTTATTCCAATATCTCTTCTATATCTCATCCTCATGTGTTCCATACTACAAATATTCTAAAAGCCCTATTTTTCAATATTTCACTCTTCTCCTGGAGGATTTTTATTCCCTATCAAGTAAAATTTTTTTGTAATCAAAGCTTCATTGAAACATAATGACATCTGGCATATGGGAGGTGCTCAGTAAATGTTAGTTTCCTTTCACATTCCATTGTCTCGATTCACATTACGTATAGTCCTCAATTCATAAAGGAGGGGAGCAGTACACAATGCCATGCTAAAGGGGCTAAACACACAAGCAATTTCTCTTTTCAGACTTACATGTTTTTCCTTCCCCTTGGTAAAATGCTCTCCTGTACATCTATCCAACTCCTTAAAAGAACAGCTCAAATTCCTAAAACTTCCTCACCACAGTAATCTTTCTTTCCTTCTACAGAACAGCTACTACTGTCTGAAAAGTAAATACCCGAACATTTGATTAAATGCAGATTTCTACCAACCTCTAAATTTTTAATAATTTTAGCTCTTTTCTGATTAAGCTTCTTGAGAC